CCTCTTCCTTGTACTATTCTCATACTTTACTTACACTTACACTACCACACGTGCCGGTCGGAAGCTGAGAGCTTGTCCGGCTGAGGTGGCGCTCTGTTGACGGGACGTACTCGCAAGCGCGATTGGGGGAATCCCCGCTGGTCTACGGTAGGTCGGCGCCGGACCTCACCATCCAACGGGGGAAGATTGCCGCCTCCCGAGTGGAACAACACTTATGACTTATGGCCTTAGCATTTAACGCGCTAGAATCATCAATCAATAGCCAGGTGCGCCTCCCACATTCGCACCAAGTCGCCCAAACCACCATCACCGGCCTCACCCCCGCCGCCTCCTCCCCTCCCAACCGCCCCTTCTCGTCCCCCTCTACACGTCCCCTTCGCCGCCCCCTCTCGGGTGCCCCCTTCCTCCCCCGCTCCCACCCTCTCGGTCCTTTCCCTGCCCCGCCGACCGACACGTCCCCTCCGCTCTCCCCGCCCTCGCTGTTCGCAACCTACCCTCCGCCTCTGCCCCGACAGACCCGCTCTCAACCACACAGCTGTCGCCCCACATTCACTCATCTTGACCCAATCCCACAAAGTTCTCTCTTTCTACCTAATTAGCTCTCCTATTAAATGTGTTGCTCCTCTTCCTTATTTCAGCTCCGTGTGCACTTCAGTTCCTTTCTTCTGTCTTCTTCCTTCCCTTTCTCTTTTCTTGGCTAGTTTTTGTTTGCTGTCTTTCGTATTTTATCTCTGTTGAATTTGCACACTAGTCGATTCAATATTTATGGATAAGATAAATAAGGACTTCAGATATCAAGCCGGCAAACTCCACCAAACGAAAAGTTTCAGTATGAACAGTTAAAATTTTATCTACAAAAAATCTATACATTTCTCTGCATATTTCGACTAAACTCATTCTTTTTTTTTACAATTAAGGGTATGTTTTCAGCACTTTATAAATATATTTAAAAAACTCAAGATCTCTCTCTCTCTCTCTCTCTCCCATAAAAAATCCACTTTATACGAAGTTAGTCACATTGTCAACTGAAAGGTGCAGACGAGTTCTGAATTTTATTGACATAGTATTGTGAATGGTTCTCGAACAAGTTATTTTATTAAACAAATAGCCTCAAATACGTCCTCTTTAGAGGCTAGAAATTATTCTGATTGGTTTAATCTTTTATTACTTTGTATTTCACAAATTAAAGCTTTTGGCAATTACTGCTTTGCATAGAATGATTGATAATCCGCGCATTGTTTATCGATAGAAATACAACCTTTTCATTGAAAATTTCCGATAAATTCCAGAGCCGCGTACCGCCAAGAGAATGAAAGTAACTCTAAAAAAAAGTTTTATAATGCGTCAAATATTAATAATACCGTGTTCGCACTCCAAGTGCTTCCTATAATTGAAGTATCGGACCGTGTGGATCGGCCAGCAGGGAGAATATTGTAAGAACAAACGATATTTTTTCGGATATACCGTCTTCATTGATGTAAGACGCTAGATGCCAGATGTTCGAGTAGTTCAACCCTATTGGTATTAATTTCACGAGTGGAATAATCGTAATAAATTGTAATGCATACTACGGTATGTTACCTTATGTTATGTGTATTTTATAACAATACATTACGTTATTATATTACTATTTTGGTCTTCGAACTGTTATTTGCTTTGTCGGCCTTAGCTCAGCCATTAGGAAATTCAAAGACTTGATGCAGTGACGACTGTTGATATTCAGACAGATTTGATTGCTTTTCACGACGCACAAGCGAGCGAGCTGTCAGTCACACTCTTCACAGACACATATAGTCACACAAGCGGTCACACGCGCACATATACGTACATGCGTGCAAGCACATATGCTCACACAAGCGCACATATACGAACATACACATACCCGCACACATATGTATACACCATCACACTTACGAATCATGCACATACGCTATACATTCACACACGTTCCCCTAAATATGTCGCCGATCTAGATCCAGCAATGAAGAGTTCCCTGTTTCTGCAACAGTTAACTGTTAAGCTCGAGTGTGTTATTGCTGTTGTAATTGTTTTTGTTATTATTATTATTATTATTATTATTATTATTATTATTATTATTATTATTATTATTACTATTATTACTGCTATTGAAACAAATATGCCTTCGTTATTACTGAAAGTCGCTAAGCACTACTCATGATCGTACTCACATAATAATACGTTTGATAAGCACAGTAGACGATGCGGCAAAGATGGTCGTGTTCAGCTTACGGTTTGCTTCCAACTGTCGCGTTGCCAAACCCCACGACTTGCGTACTGGGGGCACCGATCTGATGCGAAGAAAGCCATTCAATTGCATGTCACCCCTCTTCAATGCAAAAGCGGATGTTGAGAAAGTCGTAGCCAGAGTATTGTAAGAAAAGGGCAGAAGGAAATTGTTGTGGAGGTCATTATTCACATCGAAATGTAGCGTCGAATAAAGCACATTTCTCTATGCAAGTGAGAACACTGGCTGCCATAGTATCCACGCAGAGAAAACTACTGGAGCTAGAAAAATAAAACTTGAAATGTACAGGTGGTGAAAACAAACCAGCCGTTCCTCATAATTAGGGGGCGGATTTTAATGAAATATTATTTTTTTTGTTTTCACTTTAGAACAATGCCTTTTAGTACATCCATTAATTTTATGTTACGGCAAAAGGAAATTATTCATTTTTATACGACTTTTTTTGTTGCATTTTTCGTCGATTTGAGTAGTTGAGTGCGTAGCATTTCTGACAGCCGGCTGGCGAGGTAAGGTTGTGACGACTAGAACCAGAGTGATCGTTGGTTCGGGCGCAAGCCCTCTAACTCTGTCGATTCAGACATTTGCGTTTTTATTCGTAGATTTTGTTTCTTGGACAATACTAAACTCAGAACTGCGACTCGCTAAACTATAAGCATAACCTTCTGGACGTTATAAAAGAAGAGAAATAGTCAAGAAACTGCTATGCTGAAAAAAAAACGTATTATCTCATCAAAATGACAGGGGGAAACAGTTAGGATGGGACGGAGTGGGGAAGGGTGAGGCAGGCAGGGTGGGACAAAGTGCGAAGGACGGAATGGGCAAGGTGGGACGAGGAGGGGAAGGACGGGACGGGTCGGGTGGGACGGGGTAGGAAAGGACGAGACGGACAGAGTGGGTGACGGAAGGGAAAGTTAAAGCAGGGAAGGATGGATTAGGGTAGAATGGGTTCCGGAAGGGCGGAACGGGACAATTCTTCTAAAACGATACAATGTTTCTTGTTTTGTTTTGTTTTGTTTTGTTCAACGCATCCACACTTTCCGGATTATGTGAAGCGAAGCAGGTGGTCGGGACGGGACCGGGGATGGCGAGATAGGGTCGAAGAAAGGATGGAGAGGGTCAGAACGGGAATGGACGGTGGGCGGGCAATGCGAAAAGTGGCGAAGCGAACCAAGTTTATGTAGTATAGTACTGTAGCTGTAGCTTATATCGAATCCGGCTACTGCCTGTATTAACCAATTAATATTCACATTATCCAAAAAATATGGATAATGTCCGACGTAGAAACAGATTTAAAGCATACTTGGGATTCGCGTCGGATGATGTCTGATAGGCTGGTGCAACTGGCGCACGGCACTGGAGACCCGAAGTCGCGGGTTCCGAATGAGGATACCCGCCGTCCCCCAATAAAGATGCCACTGGCAATGGCGTTGGGGACCCCATTTGAACCGTCTGCATGGGACGCCCGAGACGAACATAGCTACACCTGTGGGTGACGTAATACTTTACTGTGACGAGGAGTAGGATATATGTGATAAACAGATGTCAAGACAGGGGGAGTTTGATGGGAACTTTCTAAGGCTAAGGGGAGTTAAGGCGTGTGGTTTGCAAGTACCATTTTGTGGGGCATCTGAGTGTCCACTCTGATGGGTAACTTATTTGGTTAGAAGAGATGCCCATAATGTCTTCCCGGAAGTAAAGGAGGAACTGTTTACAAGAAAAAGGAAAAAAAATGAGAACCCTGCAAAAAAGAGGACAGGCAAAGACATTCAGAATATTAGTGAAAAATGTAAAATGTATTTATTTTTAGAACATACCGACCCTATTTCTGGACACTGCATTTAATGTTATTAATTATAATAAAGAACTAAAATAACACAATTATTTAATATTCATTCCATACTAAAAAATTAATAGTAATAAAAAATGAGAAAAATTAAAAGAAAAAAACAACAAACAATAAAATCACACAATATATTTGTAAACATGTACTGTATTTCAATTTTCTGTACCTACATCAGAAAGGAGGGTTTTTTAATTAAATCCATATCACATTCAAATAACTCTTAAATAATTATAAATTCAGTAATAAATTCACATTAAAAATAAACAAGGGATTTACATATAACATTAGTATGTGATTTGTTTGGGGACTTTCAAATATAAATTTTGATGTGAAAAGAACTAGTTATGATCTACTGAGAAGTATTCTGTGAATTGATTGCTTTATGTCACAGCCAATGTATTTCCATTAAAAATATTTTCATAAAAATATTATTATACTGTATCATACTCTGTTATTTTTAGTGGAATAGTCATGGAGATTGTATTTGTAACAACTTATTGGAAATGATGAGAATACCAACAATGGTGCTTTACTAGCCATTAGAGCAATATATGTTTATACTTTTATTTTATATTTTGACAAAATTGCCCATAAAGTACTAAACTAAATAAGTACATAAATAATTAAATAATTAAAAAGTAATTCTACATTTTTATATTAAAAATTAAGATTCCATATTCAGTTCAGTTATATTATCAACATAGGAAAGGTGAAGTCTGTTGACCCTCTAAAGAATTTAGGAAGACTATGTTTCTGTGAATATGCAATTCCACCTTAAAATAATTAATATTCTGTCTTTTGGGAACATTTCAGTCAAAAGGCAATAGTAAGAAATAGAAGCAAGGCATATGCTCTTATTCTCTTACAAAAAGAACAAAACGAAAAATATTCTATATCAAATTTCTGTTACAAATGAAGGTACAGCGAACATCTGCTATTTTCATCTTGTTAAGTTATTTGATTTGTATTCTTTTAGTTTCCTCTTTGTTACATAGTGTTTATTTTTGAAATCAAGGTAAATTGCACATTCCCTTATAAAACTTGCATGATTACTTAGAAGACATTAAAAGCTGTTTAACTTCTTCTGAGGAAGCAAATGTCACCAAAGGCCTTCCTTTAATGTCTGTTCTTTTTGCTCCAGCTTCCAAAAGTGCTTTGGTTGAACCTGGTCTATTGTAAGTGACAGCCAAGCTAAGGGGAGTCTCGCCACAATTGTCCATCACATCAACTTTCTCTCCTCGCTTCAGAATTTCCTTAACTGCCTCCCCAAATCCACCAATGGCAGCGTAGTGCAGAGGCCTCTGCCCATTGCCTTCCCTTGCAGACAGAGAAGCTCCGTATCTGATAAGTTCCTTAATAGACTCGATTTGCCCATGCAACGATGCCAAGTGCAATGGGGATCGCCCCAGAATGTCCGTGATGTCAGGACAGGCTCCTCGCTTCAGGAGAAGTGAAATGCAAGACAAATGGCCTTTAGCAGCTGCTTTGTGAAGGGCAGTGCCACCCGGGGCAGTTTCGTTCGGATCCACGCCTGCGTCGAGAAGGTACTTCAACTCAGTTATTTGCCCAGCAGCTGCTGCATTGAAGAGGTTCTGCCCAGAAATCGATTTTGGCAGTACAAACTTTTTCACATCTCTAATTTCTTCGTCTTCGTACTCAAATTGTGTCTTCTGGCTGTTGGAATTTTCTGAAACAGTAACAAATATTGATTTCAAATTTTGTCAAAAGCAGATCTTGTTCACATTATAAGAACTTTCTAGGTATCCACAACAGAGTAGCTGCAGTAGATTATGGCAGGTAGTTATGACTGCTTTTCATAAGGAACACTATTTATCATTTAGTCATTAATTGAGTTAAAAATAATTCCATTTCTACTTTTCTCACAAACTGTGTCAAAAAATTTGGCTGGTAATTATTTTTAATTATAGGAATAGAACTCTTTACAAGAAAAATATGAAATAAAACAATTTTGTAAAGGCAACGTTCATAATGTCTCAAACTTAATCCTTATTGATGTTATATTGTATTTGGTATTTATTGTTTCTTTTCTTTTAAGTGTGCTTTTGCTGAATTTCAAATCAGGACATATACTTTTTTTACTTATTTCCTTATTCCTTTCATTCAGAGCACATATGAAATTGTAATTATTTTTAAAAGTTTAGATGGGTACTTTTCTTGGTACAACAAGAATTCGATAAATAAGTGTTTGTAAAAAACTCTTCAGTTTGTAATGCAACAGTTGATCTAATTCAAATCACCTCTGTTCCATCCTTGTTTTAAAAAAATTAAAAAATGTTAATGGTATTTTTAAATTAAAGCTAGAAATACATTGAATATTGTGCACTAATGTATGATTGTATTTCTTTCTGTGAACTGGACCTCATTTTAATGAAATCAGAAAATCTAATTTTAATAAAAGATAATAAAATCAGAAAATCTGATTTTATCAAAAGAAATAATTTTCATTGAAAAACTTTTTTAATGCCAAAAATTATTTTCACAAAAAACTTTTCATCAACCAAAGATATTTCTTTTCAAAACTAACAGTTGGAAGATTGGGGCTAAGGATTATATTACCTCCTAAGTAAATTCTATATATTGAATATAATTTTACATTAATAAATTTTATATAATAATGTAAAATTCATTGAAGAAAAAAAAATTCAAACAAATTTTTTAGTATTTTTTAAAAAAACAAAGATCTTACACTTATTTTTAAGTAATTTTCAAAGAATTTTTAAGTAATCAGAATCTGAGCCCTGGTCATTATTTTACATTTTGAATGTCATTATTTTTACACCACACCAAATGATATTAAATTATTAAAATCAAAACACAAGTTTAAGTGACATGTAAAATCTTTCCTGCTGCATAACTGTTTCATGAAGGCACATGCACTTTTCATGAAGGGACTCTCTTGCTGGAGAAACGGAGACTAAACATCGAAAAGGATTTTAACAATGATATTTAATGCATTAGTTACCATTATACCATTGTAGGTATTATTCTAAAAAATAAATTTGCCTATAACAAGCATTGTATTTCAGCATCTGGGTTAATGACCCCTACCTTGATCAAGTTTTTCATCCATTTTCCCTGATCCTTTTAGTAAATGTTGAGGTGGACCCTTGCTTTGCTTCTGAACATATATGTAGCTTGCTTTGTGTATATTTTCTTGAGCTTAGTGGAAAATATAGTTATTCAAATAATATTGTTTCCATGATGTTGCAGCAGTAAGGCAATTTTTTCATCATGTTTCATGTATGATAAGGGATAACGTCTTAATTCTGAAGCTCATTTGCCTTTGCAAATAGTTTTTTATTACACAGGAAAAATGTTTTCTTATCAATCCTTGCCAAGTAGTATAAGAGCTAGCTCTAGAAGCTGCCAAGCTCTAGAAATGTGTTCAGATTGCATTTCTCTCCTCAAGTATGTCATACAGAATTTTTACCTTTTTTTTCATTAGGTATAAATAAATCAATCATCAATTTGATAACTCTCAAAATATTTTTGGTACTCATTCATTCTAAATGTGACAAGTTGTTCCCTTAGGTTTTATTTTTAAAATATATGTTCCTACCCTCTGTCTCAATTGTTTATATTTCACCAAATCCCAGCTTTTATTGAGATAAAATTGTCCATCATGGACTTTCACCTAAAACTGTTGTTGTTAGTTTTCTTTTCTTTTCTTTTTTTTATTTCCCTTCTTTTCTTCAAGCCGATTGTATCAGAAGCAGTAAAAAAACATGATTTTAAGTTTTATCACAATAGGCAATCCCTTGCAAGTATCACAAGGAGTTTTGTATATTACTATGACATTTTGTATATAATTTGTGTATATCTCTGGCACCTGCTTTTTTGAGAAGGGGCTAACCAGGCATGAATAGTTTGTTGGAGAAAAGGAAATATATCTTCCATTTCTTGTGCATTATTTATCTTTGAGCTGCTGTTCATTTCTGAAACAGTGTCCACAGAGTAGTTTTAAGTTTTGCAAAGAGTGACAATCCCATATACGTATAATAAGAATGTTTTGTATAATAGTAATGTAGAACCCTGGTATTCCGAACTAATTGGGGGTGTGGTGTGTTCATGTTATCTAAAAAAATGTTCTTCATTTAAAATACTAGTACTTACAAATACAATCACAATAAAGTAATAATTTGTAACAAGAACACAAATATTGTATACAAATTTCTGGTAGTGTAAATATTACTGACATCACAGAGATATAAAAAAATATAATTGTGTATTTTTTGAACAAACAAAAGAATATAACAAAGTCATGTTTATGTCATCTTGTACAGTACATGTAACATTATTTCTACCAAAAGTATAAAGGAAAGAATTTGGAGCCATTTGGAGAAGATTTTTTTAAAATATTTGCTAATATTCACCCTATTTTATTCAGAATTGCTTGAAAACTTCTAAAATTCGCAAACAAAAATGTACAAGACTTTAATGAAAGAACTAATTGTGGAGAAAAAATTCATTTAAAGAAAAAATCTGTTTTCAATATTGTAGATATAGGAAGTTGTTAGAAAACAATGCAAACTATTGTAATTTCGGAAATTTCACAGTTAACAACGAAAAACTCACATATCCCATCTTTATAAGGGTACTTCTGTTTTTACAAGGGCTTTCATTGAAACATTTAATGTCCTAGGGGTTTCGTGTAAAGTCCCCCCAAAATTTGAGGAATGTTTCTCATAATCGCAGAACTTCGATTCGAGAAAAGTTGACTGAGAAATATGCATTTTAGAAAAAAACCATTCAAAAAATTTAAGCGCTGGTATTGTTCATGTGAAAATGTGAAATGCAAACATAGTCAATTTTACAACTAGTTAATTAGTAAATAAGTCAATCTGAATCATTAAAATTACGTAAAAAATAAAATCATGTATGTACCACGAGCGTTAACTTGCAATGATATCGGGCCAAAGGCCCTCGGCCTGTTTGGCCCGATCATTAGAATATAACGTCCTTGAAGCATAGTTAACGTGTACTTCCAATTCAAATTAACCAGCATAAATTATTTCTGTTCGATGGAAAAATGAAGTCTGTTTAGGTATTGTGGGAGGGGGCTGAAACCTTTGGTTTGAATAAGGGCTCCCAGCTTTTGTCCTGCATGAAGCCTTTTGTTTGGTCTGCGCGCCTCCGTGAGTACCTCGTCCCCGTACTTACCTCTTTCTGTGGTTGCATACACAGCTGCCTGGGCCCGTTGTCGGTCGCGTCTTTTCTTCTCGATCTGGATTTCTGCTTCTGTATTCTCTTCTCCCGCTGTCGTTTCGCTCGTCTTCTCTTTCTGCCTTGTCTCCTCCTCCTCCTCCTCCTCGGATTTTTCCGTGTTGGCTGGGTTTCCAGCAGCGGTGCGAGTCTGCGGAAGGCCAGTCATTTTTTTATTTATTTCGTTTAATTTATTATTTATTTAGCGACAGCTAAAAAAACGCTAAAAAAATAAAAAGAAAGAAAGAAAGTTACGTATAGAGATAGTATGATGCATTCGCGAGCTCACCGACGCATTCATGAGCTCATGTATGTGTAATCCTTTTCTTTTACTCTACACAATGACAGACGAAAGATATGCAGTCATTCCTTTATTATCGAATTATGAGCGATGGCAATAACCGGTGCTTTGATAACAAACATTTGATGTATATAAACATTTGAATTACAAGAAATGTTCGCACCCGTGTGAAACTATTTGCTTCTGCAAACGATATACAGATTCAGTTTGATAGTACGAAACTGCTGAACCCTTCATTTCTCTAGAAAAGCAAAATGATAATTGAAAAAAATTTTCACGGACAGTAAAATTACATTACTGTCCAGAAGCAAGACGAGAGACCAAACCAGCATCAATGGAAAACCGTGTCTAATAAATCCAACGATAAACTTTCAACAAGGCAATTATAGCCGAATAAAATAATAGAATACCAAATTTAACTCTTGAATTAATATCTTTATTAAAAAAACATTGCCGTTTGATAGATTTTTCGTCAATTTGATTAATTTCGTATTCGACAGTATAGATTATAGACTAAGAGAAGTAGTTACGCAACAGCAAATACTAGGGTTGCGATAGAAGTCACGGCAGCTATTTTTTTCTAAAATAAATGTTATCGAATCACACAATTTTATATGTCACGAGAAAGAAATGATGTTCCGAAGTGGGTACAAAACAACAGATGGCTATGAGCGTGAATCTATTAGCATCAGGAACAATATGAAATCAGTTGTATGACAACCACCCAGCGAGACGAATATAAACAGTTTCGAGCAGCTCTTGTACTCCAAGACAGCAGTCTGCATGGGAGAATTGCCTAAGAATGTCACAGGGATTAGGTGGAAGCTGTTGGGACTAAGACCGCGATCTTTCCTTCCTCTTCCTTGTCCTATCTTCAACCCTTACTTATAAACACACTTACATGCACTACACTATCCAACTAGTCGGGAACTTAGAACTTGTCTCGGTGCCTCGCTGGTGGGAGATACCTTCTTGGGGAAAATCTCGCTAATCGACGGCAGGAGTGCATCAAATATCACCATCCAGCAGATGATAACCACGGCAACCTCCCAAGAAAAAAAAAGTACTTACGGGACTAATGTCCTTGCAGGTGATGCACCCGGAATTTAAAAAAAAAAAAAATAAAAAACAACCTTATCCTATATATCACGGAGATTTGGGAATGTACATTCATAATATGAAATCCTACTTACCGAGCTGTGTGTCTTCAAAGCATTCCGTAGTACGGCACCTTGCTCCAGCACTCGCGAGTCGGTGAGAAGTTGTTGATCTCGCAAACTGGCCACTTCTTTCTCTAGTCGGGAGCACATTTCTTCTACATGTCGAATGCTTTGCCCGATGTCCTTCAGAACCTTCATGGAAAGCAGAAATCAAGCGGATTATGCATTTATTTTTAAAGAAACGATTAGAATGGGTGCCAGCAATATTCTAGCACTTTGATATAAAATTGTGACAGAATAACACCTAGAACGCTGAATTGAATTGAATTGAATGAACACTGGGAAATCGTGTTTCGTTATTAACCCGTAGCATCCGAAAAAATAAGAAATGCAATGAACTTTCACTTTTGTAGTTGAGAAATCTAATGAACACATGCAAGAAATCTCTAAAGCAGTTTACTTGATAACTCTTCTTCATTCTGTGCATGAAAACTCAAAATCAATGAAGAGTAAATTAGTGGCAAAAGCAGAGTTTCTCACAGTGCTCAATGGAATCGCCCAAGTGACGGGTTCGATTGTGGCGCCCCACAATACTTCACGAAGTCTTGGACCCAAATTGTCAACAGGTCACTATGTAAGCTGCGGTGGCTCTATAATGGTGACATAATCGAGAGGTCAGCTCGTGCAGAAAATCCTGCACCGGCAACGCTTCTCAATTATAGACGGCTTGGCTCAAAATTTCTGCAGAAGACTTCCGACTTACTGGATCTATTCCATGTCGAATTGCTGCACTTCGCCGCGGAAAGAAGGTCCGGCAAAATATTAGAAGGTATCCCATAACTTTTGCCACCTCAGTGTGAAGAAAGAGAAAAATATTCCGCGCAAAATATTATTAACTGCGTCGTGTGTTTCGTATTTCGTCTCTCTTGTCATCCTCACGGACGTGAAGGAATCGGCTTCCTTCCGCGAGAACATGGCGAACGACAAGGACCGCGAGCACAATGGCGACGTATTCATAACCTCAAACTTTCATGGCCCGTGGATGCATTGTTACGCATGTCTAATTTCATGACGATGCTCCGGTCTTTGACTAGCGCCAGTAACATAAAACTTTCCCCCACGTTCCCGCTGGGGGGACCAGACGGTCGCAAGACCCGAGGCTCTTGATGAAGTTGGAAACTTCCACTCGGACATGAGTTTCTTGTCGGTACTCATGTCGTTCGTGCCCAGGAGAAGGCTGTGCTAAGCTCCGAGTCGTTGGATTCACTCGGTGACCCACCAGATCGGTTCCTACCTACTCACCTTCGGGCAAGATCGTTCGAAGGACTCTCTCCCAGACCCACATATACAAGCCCGACAGGGAGCATGAGTCAGGTTGTCTAGATTCAGGCTGCACTCACGTCCATAGTTTCAAGGTGGAGGGAGTGAGGAGAGGGGTAGGGAGCCTCGAGCCACCCGGGCTTCGGTCCCCAGTTGAGCCCTTGGCTTCGTCGCGGCAGTACCCGCTACTCAAGGGCTACTGAGTAGGGTTCCTTTCGGCGCAAAGTGGGTGGCGATTAATTAGGCTCCAGTGCTCCTGCCAGCTAGTAGCTCTGAGCTGGCAGAGTGGCCCTTCTCTGTCTTAATTGGGGAGGTGCCCCGGTGGGAGGCTGCGTTCCCGCGTATTCGGATGCCAGCCCACAGGTCTTCTTGCACGGAGGGCGGACAGAGGCTAGTGCGTACATGCCCACCAGAGGAGGCCCCACCCCCCCCCGGCTAGAGCAAGAAAATGTGGGTACAGACTGCACGGTATTTATACAATGTCCTATGTATAATTTCGAACTCATTTAATTCCAAAGACTAGTTTGCCGAACACTTGACGCTTCGTTACGCAGATTGAAGTTCGTGCCGAAGTGAACCTTTCAGCCTAGGCGATCGACATAAAACTCCATGAGCCCTATAAAATGAGAAGAAATAGTACTAACTAATGAGAGTTCGAGTTCTCCCACAATTTGAGTACAGACCGGGAGAACTGACTCTGGGCATCAACTGATGAAACTGCAGTGACTCTCACTGGGAGGTCCTAGGTTCGAGTCCCGATCGTCGCAGGATTTTCGACACTAGCAGTCGCAGTTTGGAGAGTTCTAGAGGACGGCTGCTCTGATTGGTAGTTTTCCGTGTTTTTTTCCAATCAATACCACGCGAATGCCGTAATAACCTGACAAGGACGACGGACCTGGAGGTGATCTTTCCTTCATCTCCTTTGTCCTGTCCTCACCTCTTACTTACACATGCACTACCTCACATGCAGAGGACCAGTCAGGGGCTTAGATTTTGTTCCTGCTGGGCTAGTGCGCCGCTAGTGAGCGACACCTGGTTGGGGAAAACTCCGCTAGCCACTAGGTCGGTCGGCGCCGAATCTCACCATCTAGCGGGGGAAATCACAGCTACCTCCAGAGGGGGAAACATGTACTACGCTTGCGGGAATAGTGACCTTAGCATTATACATGCATTCATACCAATAATTAATGTATCATAGAGATTTGAGATCATTTCATGTTTGTGATTTGTCCCATATTAATAACTGTTCAGGAAGAAACAGCGACATGTATGTAGTCTGAAGGTTGCGCGTAATTGAAATGGTTGGATGGGATAGTACCGTGAACCGAGAGTACATTCCACGGTAGTACAGACTCTCAAGCTGTTCGTTCATTCTTGATCCGGTTCACTTGTTTGCTTATTCGTTGAATCGTTCCTAATTCACATTATATATGTGATTGGGGTTATTGTCCTTCCGCATTAGCCCCACATGCAGGAGGCAAGTAGGCGTTTGGGGTATAGTAGTGTATCATTTAATTATAGTAGTGTATCATTTAATTTTTTTCGGAAAATTTCAGGGTTTCTTTCGAGATATAACATACCTCTACGAGTGGCTTCAATGAAGTTAAAGGAATGCTGCCCTCTTCAGACATCATCGCCGCCATTGAATTCACTTGACCGATGAAATCTTCTGAGAATGCTACGCCACTTTCTGCATTTCCCATTTTTTAAGTAGAAATCGTACACTGCGTTAATAAAAAAGGCACTGTATATTGGCAGAAAAATGTTTAACAATTATTAATGACGAAAGTCCATGTTCTGTTTGGCGGCACCAGAGAGTAACTGTATATCAGCAGCTCACAGTGATAGTGAACATTGACGTGCTGAGGAAAAATGTATTGCAACGTTTGTTGCGAAATATGATTTGAAATGAAAATAATATAATAATTGTGTATATTTTTGCGCTGACAACAATATAATTTAAAATGCTAATTATTAAGTTCCTGAGTAGTGTACATATGTCCTGTGTAGTATCTATTTTTATTGACTTATTCTGAAGTACATAACCTGTAGTATGCATAGTTCATTGGACAAATATTTGCTTCCACTATGGTATATTTCAAATCATCCTCCTTGCTTTGGTTTTGCTCAACTCTGCCAACTCAACTTTTTTTTCAAATTACATATTTTTTTTAATTGTATCCATTTATCTGGTAAGGAAATTGTATTGTAAAACTGATGTTAATTGCTACTTTTTATTTATATTTTTTACTTCTATTACAACATTATAAATCAAATTAATATCACACTATTTTTTACAAAAAAATGCTATGTATATACATGTTGTTCTTATTTAAAATTAATATACATCTTAAAATTGAAAACATTTAGTAAATAATGTAATAAGTGTTAATGAGTTTCCATAAATCTGTATATAATTTTATCATACAAATGTTTGTGTTTAAATACTAAAAAATACTTTTATTTCAAAAAGTATCGTTTAATAATTATTTTTATTGGAAATATATTTCTTTTCACTTTTCAAATTTGTTGGGAAAAGTGAACACCTTTTTTGTCATGTAAATGTTATGTCAATTTTTGTATTAAATTCTTATATCATTTGCAAATTATCGTATGTAACACAGTTTAACATTAAATTATTGGAAAACAAATGAGTTAACATTTTATTTATTCTTAACAAATTTTAAATTTTAAACGTAACATACTTTTAACCGCACATGTGGCGCTGCAATCTTTACCTACTGAGCAACACTTAGGGTGCCGCATTCTATTTACGTGTCGCGCAACGTTTGAAATAGACACTGACCAATTCTCAGAAAAGCATGTTCCAAAAATTGCGAACATTAACAGTTTCGAGTAAATCCAAAGCCTAATTTGCAGTTGAAGCTGAAGAATTAACTACTCATAATTATCAGTTCAATGAGATTTGTTGCAATAAATCTCTACTATTATATCAAATTAAAAACTCAATTTTTACATATGCATCTATTTAAATATATGTTGTACTTAATATTTTAGTTTTAATCATGGATGAGAAAAATAACAGCAAAAGTTTTATGGACAATTGGCTTATTAAAACAAAATCACACGTAGAAAATGTTGTGATTCCAGTGGTTGAAAATTTACTGGATGAATCAAATGATATTATTTTAGCAACTGACTCAGAAGGTATGTATTATATATACAATTACCTATAAATACATACATACTCTTTAACAATTTGTATTCATGTTGCATTTGTAATTGTAAAATGTTAGAAAAATTAAACTTATTTCACGTAATAATTGAAATTAAAAGATACCTATTGAACAATTATATTATTTCATATTTAAACTATTGAAAGTGTAAAAATATTTTCTGAATTTCTCTTTATTTTAATATTTGTGTGGTTTATTAATATATTTGATTTATTAATTTTCTAAAAGAAACCTCATTTTATATGAATAAGCTAAAAAAATAAGATTATATATAAATTTAATTATAAAATACACATTTGTATAAACAATTTTAAAATTAGTCAATAACATTCGTCAACGATTTCTTTTTGTAGTTACTGGTCATGCAAAGATTTAGGCGAGTTCGATGATCCTAACTGTGAGTTACCTAAAAACAGACTGGAAAAAATCTTAGAATTCAATGTGGTCCATTTCAGCCTAAACTAGATAATTATCCGCAGACAGTAATTAGTAACAAATGAAGATCTTTCCATTCAACGTGGTTCGAAAAATTCAAATGGTTGGAATTCAGTGTTTCAGCAGATGCAGTATTTTGTTTCGCATGTCGTCTTTATCCTACAAATGGTACAAGGTTTACTGGAACTAAAGATGACGTTTTTATAAATACTGGATGCAAAAGCTGGAACAAAATAGGAGAGAAGTTAAACAAACACGATAAATCGCATCACCATCAAGACAGCATGGATTCATGGATTGTTTTTGTGAAGACGAAACCAATTGATACAATATTGGGCGAAGCAAAGGAAAAGAAACTTAAGGCACAAGAAATACAACGCCAAAAGAACTATCAGTATTTATCAAGACTTATTGATATTATTTGTAGTTTAGCTAAGGGAAGTAAACCCTTGCGTGGTCATAACGAAACAGAAGATAGCAATGAAAAAGGGTTATTTTTAGAGATAGTTTCATTGTTTAAACAATACTATCCTTTTATGGCTGAATAGTTGGAAACTGCTCCAAAAATTGTACATGTCTCAGTAATCAGATACAGAATGATATTTTGGCAGCTTTAAGCAATGTTGTTTTAAGAAATATAGCTGATGAAATGAAAAATGATGATGATGATGAACAAATGTCTGTTGTAGTACGCTACATTCCAAAAGGAAAAGTATTGCCCGTTGAGCGATTCATCTGTGTAGAACATATGAAAAAGGTTGATGCTGAAAGTATTTTTGAAGAGCTGGAAAAAATAATTAACAAAGTGGGTATTAATTGGCAAAACGTAATAGCAGTCTGTTTTGATGGCACAGCAACTGTGGCAGGAGAATTCACAGGTGTGGAAGCAAGATGTAAGGAGAGAAATTCTAAAATTTTATATGTACACTGTTATGCACATTGCTTAAATCTTGCTCTTGTAAGTGCATGTGAATCACACAAAGACAATCCCCTCATATTTGATTTCTTTGGTATCATGCAATTTTTATTCAATTTTATCGAAGGAAGGCCAAAACAACACATAGTCTTAGAAGAACTGATCAAGTCAACCGGGGCGAAGCTCAAGACATTGAAATCGTTATCTAATACACGATGGGCTTGTCATGCCGAAGCAGTTACAGCTGTTAAAAATCAATATGATTTGATCATTTTGGCGATTGAAGTTATGATTGAGGAAACTAGTGATTCGCAAGTTAGTGCTAAAGGAAATCGATTACTTAATCAGTTTAAATCTTTCAATTTCATAATTTGTTTAGAGATTATGGAACCCATTCTTCAGCTTATTCTTAATAAGCTCCTTAGTAAAATTCTTACTAAGCTCCTACAATCTCCTACTATGGATTTGAATGAAGCCGTCTCATGCATTCAATCTGTATCCACAGCTCTTCAAAACTCCAGAAGTACTGAGAGTGTCTACGATTCTGTTTATAACTGAGCTCTGGAAAAATGTCAAGAATTTGGACTAGAAATACCACGTACTCAAACTAGAAAGATTCCTCGTAAAACATATTATTGTCCAAATATAGCGAACTACACGGATAGTAAGAAAAACAAAATAAAAATTTTTTACATTTTATCCCGTTCTTGATTCTGTTATTGAAACTTTGAACTGTAAGTTTTCACAAGAATCTACATCCATTATCCATGCAGTAGGAAATTGTATACATCTTAGGTCTACTGAGAATGATAATAAATTACTATGTCAACATTTTGATTTAAATTATTCAGAATTACAAGCTGAAATTCAGTTATTGAAAGCCAGGAAAAGTGATAATTATCCTCCAAATAACCTACAGAAATGGCTTATTTGGCTAGATGAAGATTGTAGAAAGACTACGTATTGTAATTTTAGAGAGGTACTAATCAAGTTTTCTGTAATTCCAGAAACAAGCTGTTCATGCGAACAATATTTTACAAAGCTTGTAATAGTAAAATCAAAGCTTCGATCTACACTGGGCCAAGAGCGTTTATCTTCTTCATTGTTATTATTTTTATTACTATTTATTGAACAGTCGAAAACTATGGAAATTGATATACTTGATGTTATCAATGAATTTAAAGAACTTGTTCCATTTGAAAGGCGAATGTTACTCTAAAGATTGTATTTATTTTAAATTGGTTACTAAATTCAATTATAAATAAAATTAGTTTTAAATGTTGTATAGATTTCAAATTGTTGATAGGTATTTTTAGGTACACTATATTTCACTTGCATCTTGAAGTAAAGTTTTAGTGATCAAATGAAGTTGAGATTGGAAAAACTTTTGCCTGAGAAAATATTTTCAGAAAGAACAAGTAAAGAAAGAAAGTTACAGAAAGCAAGAGTTTCATTTACCTTAATGTGAATTCATTTTTGTAATTACCTGTTATTGCTTTTGTATATGTAAGTGTTGATAAACATTTATAGTAAATACGACAATTCTTATTTCTTCAGTCTATAATAACAATTAACAATAATTCATTATTAGTTTGATTTTAACACTTACGATGTTAAAACAATCTATTAAACATGTTGTTGAAATATAATAATATAATGTTGCTTCACTATTTTCACTTATTGTTGTACTCTCATTTTGCTTGTTGTAGGAATAGGGCCTATGATTCAAGTACAGTTTCTATTAACTGAAAATTTTTAATTTTCAAATATTGTTTTGTTGGTACCTTTCTTAATGCTTGTAGTATTGTTTGAAAAAATCAAAAATGTATGCCTAAAATTAAAAACAAATTGAAGAAAGGGGAATTATATTTTCCATCAGATAACAAAAAATGATTGCTTTGAAATGGCAGGATAAAAAAAAGTATGGGTGTTTTCAACTATGCATGCTGTGGACATGGTTGAAAGGAAAAGAAAGATGAGTATAGCAGAAAAATGAAATGAAACCTAATGTAAAAGACTGCAATAAACATGTGGAAGTAGTAGATCAAAGTGATATAATGCTAAGTTCAGTTTCTTCTCTACGAAAATCACTCAGATGGTACACAAAATGTTTTTTCATCTTCTTGATTTATCTCTATTCAACGCTCATTCAGACTACAATATTACATCAGGAAAGAAGATAATGATATCAAAATTTATGCTTCACTTCACCAGAAAAATCATCCAAAAGTTCAATTCAGAAAGAGCAAAAGTAG